ACATTTTATCACCATCACCGCCATCATTATCGTCACGAGAGATACTTTTGACATCTTTTTGTTTGGCGCTACAAAAATTTAATTTAATTTAAAGAAATTAATTAAATTGTAATGAATTGTTATGTTTTAATCCTTCAAAAAATCAGCCAATCAGTCGTCAGATCAATCAGTTAGCCAACAAACAGCCATCCAACCAACCAATCAACCAGCCAACCAACCAACCAATTAGCTACCTAACCAACCAACCAATCAACCAACCAATTAACTACCAAACCAACCAACCAACCAACCAACCTCTTAACTATCAGAAACAAAATATTAACAAACTAAATATCACCAGCCTGTTATATCTATGCGTTATGAACTTATGCCGTAGGTTTGTTTGCGTATATGCATGTTTATACAGATATATAACATAAATATTTATATATTTATCCATTTATTTAGTCTTAAAAATTTTATTTTTAAGGTTAAAGTAACTTTACAAAGTGCAAAATGTAATGTGTGTATTCATTAATACCACACATACAGACATTAATATGCACACACACGTGCACACACACATATTTACATACACACATATATACACACATGCATGTATACAGATATATACATATATACACACACTTATATACATAAGCACACATACACACACACATACATAAACACACAGACACATATATGTACACATACATACTTACATTGTACATACATTCAAACACACACACACACGCAAGCGGAGATAAATACACGATAACAAAAATAATAAATTTTCTCTGCCAAGTTTTTTAGAAGTGACAAAGTGTATACACTTAATAAAAGTCTTACATTGTTGTTTTGTATATACATATATATATATATATGTTTATATGTATATTTACATACATACATTTATATATATATATGTTGGTAATAGACCATAATTTTAACTATATTCTATAAATTCTACCGAATGTTTGGCGTTAATATGTTTGGCGTTAATATGTTTGTCTATAAATTCTTATATATATTATATATATATATATAATATATATAAGAACTCTCCTGGGGCAAACAAATGTCAATCTGATGATGCGGATTATGAATTTGCTCTGTTTAGTGGTGAAATTCAACGAATTTCTGACGATTTAGTGCCTATGCGGGTGATTTATCGTAAGCAGACAAATGCTGCACCTTGGTTTGATGGTGAGTGTAGACGAGCAAAGCGATTCTGTAGGAAGATGGCAAGAATTTATAGGAACCGTCCGGAAAGTGGGCGGAAAAAAAGATGGGTACTCTCAATGATGGCTAAAACAGACTCTTTTCTGACAAGCGTACGCATTTTTGGAACGATGTCGTAAGTAGTAACAGAAATCAAAGAAATCTTTGGGATGTTGCCAATAAAATGTTTCATTTAATGATGACAACGTTCTAAACGCTGATCAGATTTTACAATTTTTTGAAGATAAAATTGCTAGGATAAAAGAAACAGCAAATGCACATTCTGAATTTCCGCTTCAAGTAGTCTCGATGTTGAATAAATGCACGTTTTCATGCTTTCCGTTGGTTACTGAAACTCAGTTGAGGGAAACGGTACTTAAATCACCAACGAAATCGTGCAGTTTGGACATAATTCCTACGCATATCTTTAAAAAATACTTGGACTCATTTGTCTGCTTTCTGACGAGTTTTTTAAACCTCTGTTTACGCGTTGGTAAATTTCCTTCTAGCTGTAAGCACGCAATAATTCAACTGATTTTGAAAAAAGCTAGGATCAGTGCTAGGACCAGTTTTGTTTCTACTCTTTACATCGGATATAATTAAAATAATAATGTCGCATGGACTTGTTGGTCATGCGTATGCAGATGACATACAGATAGTTGCTACAGGTCATCCAGAGACATTTCAGCCGAGATTGATAAACTTGTTGGTTGTTTGATAGAGATTGAACGTTGGATGTTGAGCAATTCCTTGAGGTTGAACCGGGGTAAAACTCAGATGCTTCCTGTCAGTACATGGCAGCAGTTGTCAAGACTTAATATAAACTCGGTTGAAGTTGGTGACGTTGAAATATCATTTGCTTCTACAGCCTTGAATTTGGGGGTATGGTTGGATAGCAGACTCTCAATGAAAGATCAAATAAAGTCGCTATCAATTGCAAGTATGATGCATTTCAGAAAATTGTACAAGATTCAACACTATTTGAACAGATCTAGCATGGAAACACTGGTACATGCTTTTATTACATCCAGATTAGATTATTGTAACAGTTTATACTTTAAAATACCTGACAAGTCAATAGCTGTACTTCAGTCTATTCAAAATCGAGCCGCAAAACTTGTCACAAAAAATCTGAAGTTCGATCACGTGACTCTAATCTTGAATGACCTATACTAGCTAAAAATTGAAAAAAGAATAATTTTCAAAATTGCTGTCTTAACGTTTCGGTCATTACATGGGTTAGCACCACAGTATTTGGCAGACATGTTCATCAGAAAAACATCTGTGTTGGGTTCGCATTTGAGATCAAATGACATGAACCTCCTGGTTGTGCCGACAACAAATTTACAGACCGGATCACGCAATGTTGCTGTTGCTGGACCGGTGGTTTGGAACAGTCTACCGGCGTTTCTAAGAAGACCAAATATATCATTGTTTTTATTTAAAAAGAAATTGAAGACTCATTTATTTTCGCAGATTTAACAATGTCTTTGTCTTCGTTTGATTAATATTTGGTTTTTTCATTTATTTTAGATCTTTTTTTTTGTAATTAGAGCTGTACAAATTGACTTGTAATAATAATAATAATAATAATAATAATATATGCTGGTGGTAGACCAGTAGTTTATGAAATCTATCAAATTTCAAGCGTTGGATAGTTTTTTTACTACATTTCTCAATCATTCTAACCGAATTTTACCGAAAAAACAATAAAACATAGCAAGAAAGCATTTAGCCGGACGAAGAAATCATATCACTAAGTAAAGTAAACGGTAAAATTTGGACAGTCACTAATTACAATAAACGCTAATCACAGGGACAAAGGCCTTGGTTATACAAACTCTCTACATGAAATGCAACAAGTTCTGAAGATAATTGAACAATCGAAATAGATCCTATAAAATCGAGAATAGTATTTGTGTATGAGAAAACTGTATATTATTCTAACTTTAGTAAAATAAATAAGGACGAAACGACGACAAGAATTTGGTTAGAAATATTGAGAAATGTAATAAAAAAAACTATCCAACGCCAGAAATTTGGCAGATTTCATAAATTACTGCGCACCCGTACATATACAAAACATATATGCAATATTTGATAAATATCTTCAGTAAGACGCTTTATTTTATGTGTTTTATGTGTTTTACGCTGCATTATGTGTTTTTGCATACACACCAACACACACACATACACACACACAAGACGCTTGTTCGGCTGTACGTGTTTTTTGATTTGATAAAATCTACAGAATATTAGCTTTTGAAAGTTTACGACTGAGCTCAATTGTAAACTTTCAAAAGCTAAAAATTTGGTAAATTTTATCAAATATTGCATAGATATATATATACAGTCCTCCAATTCATTCTCATGTGTATCAGAAAGTGTTACAGCATGCAAGGCAATAGTATAAATTGATAACAAAAAATGAATGCCGGATGTTTAAGCATTAAAGTCTGGAAAATAAAATAATATATATATGTGTGAGTGTGTGTGTGAGTGTGTGTGTGTTTCCTTGTGTTGTGCGTGTGCGTGTGTGCTTTGTACATATATTGTAGAATAATCAAACATATCACCAGTGTATAAGTATATATACATATATTGTAATTTTATATAAATACTAAATGATGCTTAAACGATGTATTTTAAAACCAAATCATTGATGAGTGACACTGAACAGTCAAGCGTCCGAAATAAAACTTGATTACAAATTGATATCTCGTCACTCGCACACGTCGGCGTTTAAATGAATATTTTCGGCAGCACAGACACGAAGGTGACGTCGTAGCAAGCAAGAAATGTGGTTCATAGCGAAGAATCACTCTCCGCTATTGTCGGACCTAACGCTTATCAGTTTGCAGTTTTTTTTTTTTTTGATTTATGAGTGTTGTTGTCCATCGGTTTTGTAGTTCCTATTAGGTTGATATTTTACAAATTTTAATATTCTAATAATATTTTTCAGTTTTTTGGAAAAAAAAGTTGATATTTTACAAATTTTAATATTCTAATAATATTTTTCAGTTTTCCTTCATTTTGTATTTATTATTAATGTTGTTATTTTTATTTTGTTTACTACTCCAACTGAAACGCGCATCATTTGATGTCTAAGTGAGCAGCGAAGTTTATTAAAGTGATGAAATCTTTATACATATATACGAATATTTATATGGCGCTAATTAAAAAGTTTTTCAAAAGCGCTTACAAATAAAATAACATACAAAATAGTCAGATAAATCAAACATTAAATAAACATTAGATCAGTAAAAAAAAATGAACATCAATGATTGAAACTACTGCGAAAATAAATATGTTTTCAACATCTTCTTAAATTTCGCAATACCCAGAGCAGGGTCTCGTAGGTCTTTGGGAAGACCGTTCCAGACTCTAGGACCAAACACGGCAAAGCTTCTAGCTTCAAGTTTCGTTTGAGCCAACGGCACCGACAGATAGTTTAAATCGTCCGAACGCAGGCCGAGGGAAGATGATGCTTTCGACTGACATTTGTTCTTCGAATACTCTGGTGCGGAATTATTCACACTCTTGAACACTATTGTGCAAACTTTAAAAATTATTCGCTTGTCGACAGTCAACCAATGAAGCTGAGCAAGAATCAGAGATACATGATCAAATTTATACACACCATGAACAATTTTTGCTGCACGGTTCTGAATAGACTGTAACATTCTAATAGATTTATCGGGTAAACCATAATACATACTGTTGCAGTAGTCCAACCGAGAGGGAATGAACGCATGCATTAAACCTTCAATCGTGCTTTTGTTCAAGGATTTTCTTATAGAACGTATTTTATGTAATTGAGCAGCGCACACTTTAGTTAGTAGTTTGATGTGATCAACGAACGTCAATCTTGAGTCAACGATCATTCCCAGATTAGTGGCATTACTGCTACACTCAATATTATGTCCATCTAGAGTAACAAAATCAATCTTGACTCGCGACAGCTGCTGCCATGTGCCTACTTTCATCAGTTTAGTTTTACCTTGGTTGAGTTTCAGTCAATTTGATAACATCCACACACTCACCTCAGTCAAACAATGCACTAATCTAGTAACAGCATCTTGAAATTTATCGGCAGGACAGCTGACAATCATCTGCATGTCATCTGCGTAGGCGAGAACAAAACACCCCAGATTTATCTATTATTTCTAGTACGTCGGACGTATATAAAAGAAACAGTATCGGTCCCAAAACCGACCCTTGTGGCACACCAGATGTGACAACCTCTGTTATTAACAACTCATCGTTAAATAAAACCTGCTGTGTTCTTGACGTGAGATAAGAGTTGAACCATGAATGAGCAACACCCGTGACCCCAAAACTGAAGTGGATTCGTTTCAACAGTATCTCATAGTCGACGCAGTCAAAAGCCGCGCTCATATCTAGGAACGCCAGCAATGAAATATCCTGTGCATCCACAGCCTTGTATAACACCGACGATATCTGCAGCAGAGCAGTTTCCGTTGAGTGGAACTGTCTGTAGCCTGATTGATGAGCAGACAAGAAGTTGTTACGCGCCAGATACTTCAACAGCCCCCGAGCAACGATACGTTCGATGACCTTTGAAATAAACGAAAGATTGGTTATTGGTCTATAATTATTTAAATCGCTCACATCCAGATCTGTTTTTTTAAGAATAGGTACGACTATGCCATGTTTGGCCATTTTAGAAAATTTTCCTGTACTTAGACATAAATTAATAAGTTTTGTTAAAAATTTGGAAAAGAGGAGTATATGCTTTTTAAGAAAATGTGTTGGGAGACTGTCTAAGATACACGTTTTTGTGGGAGATTTACGTATTACCTTCACAACATCAGTACATAATGTGAATGACAAAAATGTTTCACCATCCTTGGTTCGCCTGCTTGGAAATAATGGATCAAAACTACCTGATGTAGCCTGTCGAACCCTGTTTGTTTTATCTCTAAAGAATTGAGAAAAATCATCATTTGTAAATTTCCTGTTGTCATCATCGCAACTGTTGTAAAGGTTTTTGCAAAGCATTTTGTTAACGTCATTCCACAATCGCTTTGGATTACCTTTATTTTCGTCTAAACGAGTTTGCCAAAACATATTTTTTTTTTCAGTAAAAACACGGTTTTTCATCTTGATAGCATTGACCCATTCTTGCCTGCTACTATTTAATAAAGTTCTCCTGTAACATCTTTCCAATTTTCGACACTTCCTCTTTAGGTGCCTGCATTCTTCATCAAACCATGGGACATTCAAATCACATCGACTCTCAACCATATGCAATGGTGCAACCTTATTGACAATATTACAAACTGTGCTATTGAACAGTTCAAACATCTCATCAACGTCCATGCCATCACAGGGTGCGCTTATAGGGGAATCGTGAATAAGCCTAATGAATTCATCATCCCTCACTCGCTTCCACGACCAAACCATCTTCATAATTCGTACAGGTTTTTTAAACTTGAAAGGCAGACAAACTTTAACTAGGCCATGATCGGAATAAATTCCACTTGGAAAAACTTGAGTTTCAGAGACAAGAATATCACAAGGAATGGCAATCAGGTCTAATATGCCACCTAGTTCGTGAGTCGGTTCATTAATAACATTTCTAATATGAAATAAATCGAAAATTTCAAACAGAGTTAACGTGTGCGGGCTGTCACGTCTATCAACACGGACATTAAAATCACCTGCAACATCTAAATTGGAAGTTAATATTGTCAAACTCTCCAGAACAGATGACAGTTCCTTAAAAAACATAGGAGTGACAGGCAAAGACCCAGGTCTGTAGATGGCCAGGAATAAGTAGTCGTTCCGATTGCATATAATTTTTATTGCGATGGCTTCAAAAGTATTTAGTTGTGGTAGTTCCAGTCTTCTAAATTTAAAAATTGACCTAAAGTAAATTATTAATCCTCCATGATTAGCATCATATGGTCTAAGGTAATTCACATAACTGTACCCTGCAGGTTTAGCAGATAAAACAGATATTTCGTCGTGAGATCTATGCCAGGTTTCAGTTAAAATAAGAACATCAATTTTATCTCTAATTATTTCATTCACATCATCAGATTTTTTTATAATTGACCTTATATTCAACAAACCTAATCTGAGTTTTTCGTCTTTTTGATCGAAGTCCTTGATTTTTCTGCCACTCGTCTTTCTCTCTGAATCATTTATATTTTCATCACCATTTTTTTCTGAAATCAAATCTAAATCAATTTTTCCGCTGGTGGAAATTTGACAATTTTCCATCTTCCAACAGGCCCCCCCTCACTCTGTATAAAAAACCTTCTTTGTCCAAGTTTTCCTTCAACTTTGCCTCATCAACAAGAAATCAACAAGAAACCTCAGATAAACGTAACCAAATTGAAATGCAGCCAACCAGTATGTAAGCAAAAAAATGTACATATATATATATTTATATTATATATATATAATTGAGAAAAATACATTACAAGGAAAGCTGATTGAAAGTTAATAAAAAGATGCGAATAGCACATTCTGAAAATTAAATTAAACTGATTTAAACGGTTTATAAAAAGCAACAACGAGAACATAATATGCACTTGGTCAACTTTTAGAATATCTGCTAAGTTTTAAAAGTGACTTGTATGATGAAATTTAGATACGTTAAATAAATGTCGCCTAAATATTTTTGACATGAATTTAAAAGTAAATTTAAAAGTAAAACCCAGTTTTTGAAAAAAAAACGGCGTTTTATGTAGAAAATAAAGAATAATAATAGGTCTCCAACGTAGTTTTTGTCATTCCACTACATATTTAGAAAATTTCGTTAGTTTCTTGGACTCCGACAAAATTTAAACATTTTAAAACTTTCGGCCCGTCAAAGTTGTCTAGATCGGCACTTTGATTTAGCGATATTATCTCTTAAATTTATTTGACTGCATCCAATTTTAAACATTGGTCAATTCATCATTAAAAATAGAGACCAAATGATTTGAATGAGAATAAAGTAGAATCGTCAGTAAAGAGAATGAGTTTTAAGATTTTAGACAAATGCTGGAATGTAGGAGAGCAAGAAATGTGCCTTGATGAACGCCTGTTACAACGGAAAAAAAGAATTTGTGATCATAACTAATCAATGGAGCGTTGTGATATCACTTGTTTGTACAATGCATTTGCAGGGAAGTAAATTTTATCAGAGGGTTATTTCTTCATGTTAACTTCAGTAGCGAAAAGTGAACACTTAAAATTTAAACCCGTAAATGATTTTAAGACATTCTTACCTAGGTTTATTCTTCGTTTTATGTTTCTAAATAAATTAAGATACTATAAATTTTTAAAAAATGCGGCATAGTTTAAAAAAAACTTAGACAATCTCACTTAACTCGGACTATAAAAATTTATCTTTCAACAAATTCTTGTTATAATAGAGACATGAAGATCGTGGGTAAATAATAATAATTAAAAAAAATCCAAGATTATTCTTTCTTATTTACAGATTTTTCAGTAACTTGACAGCAATGTACAATGGCATAATTAAAAATATTTCGAAGAAAAGAAAAACTTTACAGAAACTATATATATATATATATATATATATATATATACATATTTTGTTAAATTTATTTGCCCATCTTGCATTTATCAACTTTTTTATTATGGACTCAACACAGCGTAGTTTTTGACATTCATATTTATTGTGAAATTGTGACATATTAGAAGCTGACAACGTTGTTTCTGCTAGGTAGCCATCATCAGAGCCTAAAACCAATGAAATATAAGAAATTTAATTAAAATAAATGAGAATTAAACGAATTATGTAAATTATTTGGCGGATATGACAGATAAGATATTAAAAATAAAATTGGAATTGAAAGTGAAGTTAGAATGGTACCTTGCGAAGGATGTAACCTAAAAGATAAATTTAATACTAAAACATGAAATTAAATAAAAGTTACTAATTAATAAAAGGTAAAATAAATGAAAATAAACTGGAAAGTTGGAAGAATAGGAAATAAACAATACGTGTGTGATGAATGTGGTGTAATATTTTATATATATTATATATAATATATATAATATAATATAGTATAATATTTATATCACTATCACTAGTATAATATTTTATACTAGTGATTACACCACATTCCATAAAATACACCACATTACACCATGTTCCATAAAATATTATGTTCCATAATATTTTATACTAGTGATTACACCACATTCATCACACACGTATTGTTTATTTCCTATTCTTCCAACTTTCCAGTTTATTTTCATTTATTTTACCTTTTATTAATTAGTAACT